AAATATTGATTCAAAAATGTATTTGGGGGCAAATATTTTCCTATATTGCTTTTTAACATGTATTAATTAACAAGAACTCCAAGTGTGAATTTAAAACATAAATGAGAAATGAGAATTGAAAAGTTTATCAAATGTTACTTTTGATTAAGAAAATACAAAATGAAGTAATATGCATTTGCAGATTAAACTATAACATTAATATTTTCATTAAATTATAACAAACATTCAGCTTATCACTACTTCAGCCTTACATAGCTGTTTGCTTCTGACAGGATTCATAAGATTCCTTTATTAACAAACAGCAGTAGTAAAGTTAGTATTACCTATTATTTGTTGAAGTTTTACTTTTGGCAGGAAATAAAGACTACTTTTATCTAAGAAACTTTAATGAATAGATTCTTTCATTAAAAATTACACTTTTTTATTCTTTTCATTATATTTTCAAATAAGAGTTGGATTTCATGTTCTTATCTACAAATTCATCATTTTAAGGATTAAGTCTTATAAATATTTCTTCAACCTTTAACAGAAAATGGATCCCACATAAATGCAGGGACCCCACAGATGCCATGATCAAAATGCTTCATATTACTGTAACAATCATTAACATTATATCTTGAAAGACCAGATGATAAATAAAAAAGCTTAATATTATATCAATAGTAAGGAATATCGCAACTCATGTTTTAACAAAATAAGTCAAGATTATTTTAAATTTTATTCATATGTTTAGAACTGTACATTTTCTTTCTGGTACAATGTCAGCCTTATGTCGCCCACTCACCAATTATCACCTTAAAGAGTTACTATAGGTGATTCAAGTAGTTCACAGTCAGCCTACAATCTCTTGTCCCTGTTTCTTTGTGTCAAATTGGTTTTGCTCTCAGATCCCTTTAGCTTTTTACATCCACATTTGTTCACTTGCTTTTTTGTGCTGGTGAGTTGGCATGAATTTAGTGGCAGAATTTAGATGATTAATAGAGGTCCTGAATCTTCTAGAAAACTACTTTTTTATCAATAAGTTAAGCAACATACACTTTCACAGAAATTATTTCAAACTTTAACAGATTAAATTATCCGTGAGCCCTCTCAGGCCCAGAGAAATATCATTCAAGCTCAATGGAAAATAATGTAATCATATTTTGCTTAAACTTGCTGGTGTTTTTATTGTTGTTGTTGTTGCTGTTGTTTGCTTATTTGTTTGTTTTTTGGTGCAGCTGTGGATTGAACACAGGGACACTCTACCACTGAGCTACACCCACTTAAGTTTACTTTTTAGTTATAAGTATGTTACCTAAATATTTTAACAGAAGAATGTTTATGTTATACTTTTTAAATCTAGGTATGCTATGGCTTTAAAGTATTCCATAAGTTTTACAATGGTGTATAGTCTGTTATTCTAAGAGATTACCAATTTAGACAAGTTCATGGCCTCACAAATTAATTTACATTATTATATAATACATATTTACATTAATATTAGTGAAATTGTTTGCAATTAATTTTTCAGCCCCTTATCTCATTTTAAAAATTCTCATATACTTTAAATTACATTTTTATTGTTTATAATTAAAATGATAATAGTGTTTATTAATATATTTTGAAAACTGCTAGTATAATTTACTGTATTTTGATTCTATGGGCTGAACTGGGCCTCTTCAAATTTCATGTTTTGAAGCCCTCACCTTATGCCTTGATGTATTTGGAGATAAGGATTTTTAAAAAGTAATTAAGTTAAAATTATTTAGCATGATAGACCAATATCCACTCTTTTGATAGTAGACTGAAATAGACAGGTGGTCATAGAGATGACTGTATGAAGAGACACAGAAGCAAAGTAGAAGCCATCTGCAAGCCAAGCAGACAGGCCTCAAGAGAAACAAAACCTGCAATCACCTTGAACTTGGTCTTCTAGCTTTCAGAACTATGGGAAAGCAAATCTCTATAGTTTAAGATCACCAGTCTTTTTTTTTTTTTTTAATGACAACGTTAGCAAACTAATACCATACATTCTATTAAGGTGTGAGTGTGAATCTTCTTTACCCAGAGTCCTTGTTTTCATTGGAAATAGCATGAGCAAATATGAGGTTTCTGAAAAAATAAATACAAAAATCCAGCTCAGCTATTTAACAACAGTTGGATTTACCAAAATTCTCTGAACTTCAACAATATCATTTATAGCATCCATCTCATGAGAGTTATAAAAATTAAACAAGTTTATGTATAGTAACTTAATTAAAATAATTAATTTCACTGCCTACTTTAATAAAGGGAAAGATGTTGTTTACTTTGGGAAACTTCTGTTGACTATTACCAAAAAATCTTACCTTTCATATTAAAATTGCTTTTAAGAGACTGACCTTTATTTTGTTTCAGTTTCTCTCAGCAACCTTTTTAAATAGTTCTCATATATTCAAAGTTATATATTTTAAATCTCTATGCTGTACATTGACAATAATTTTTAAAACACTGAAAATCACCAATAAATCACAACATTAAATAACACTAATAACATTGAAACTTATAGATTATGTGGTGTTTATGTTTCAGAATTCATATGACTCAAAGAACTATGTTTTTAACCCATTATTTTTCTTCCTGTTCTACCTAATCAAAAATTTTTAAGGTATTTCCATTAAATTAACGATATTGTATCTTAGCCATTATTTATATGTTCAATTACAACATAGGGCTTGTAGTTACAGTATTGAATAGACCAGACATATAACATATTCATGGTTTCAGAGAGTTTTATTAGACTTCTGCTAATCAATAGTAACTTCAATTAGCACACAAAGTTGATGCTCATTTTCTGTAAACTTTTAGTTTTAGTAAAATAATATCCATGTTTCATTTTGACAATATGAAATGTACACAGTTCTCTCTGTGTTAAGTATTAAAAAGTAAAATTTTGAAGTTTTCTTTTTTATACTATTATTAGAAATATGTCAGTAAACTTGGCTTCATTTCCTTTTTGATAACAATGGAAGTAGAAAATTAAATGATGTTTATTAAAACTTCCTCTGATACTCAATACATCAAAATAATGAATTTACCATGATCAGATATCAAAGGAGAAGAAGAAAATAGAGCATTCGTATTAATTAATAATATTAAAATGTCTATCCCTTGATATAAATTTTTATTATATTTTGCAACCTACAGTATTACAACAATGATATAGACATATTTCATCTAGATTAAAAATGAATGAGAATGGATACTCAGGATAATCAGGAACAGTCTTTGCTCAAAAGAAATGCTTTACAATGCTGTTTCTTTTCACTTTTTAACTGACACTGACATATGAAAATTAAAATAATAAATCAAGACCTAACTCTTATAATTTCTTCCTAGAACTATAGCATTGGTACCGTAAATTTAGATACACTAATATTGTGTTATGATAAACTAGTATACATTGACAAATTTTGTTTTACTCATTTTTTTAAGTAAGTAGGGTTTATGTATTGAGCATATTTAGCAGAAAAATTGAACAAGAAGTATAGATTTCTATGTTCCATCACTCCTCCATCTCAGTTTCAACTATTATTAATGTCTTTCATTAATGTTGTTCATTTATTATAATTCATGAGCTAATATTGATATATCATTATAAGTAAAATTTGGTAGTTTATGGTAAGGTTCTCTGGTGTATATTATAAGACTATTCACAATTACATTACTCTATATTATTGAGTTCCATTTGAACCTAACTGAATCATTTTCCAACAATGCCCTATTGTGATTATTGAAAGACTCCATATTAATCTCTATATTTATGACAATAATGCATAATTTCTAGAACACAATCAAGCTTTTCCAACTATGTCTAGAAGCATATTTTCAAAAATTGACTCTTGATCTATATGTATCCTGTTCACATAAACAAAACCCAAAATAAAACCTTCATCTCATAGAACACACAGCATCCTTTCACTCAATGTTTCTCATACAGTAAAATCCAGCAGTCACTCACAATAATACCTGCACTATTTTACTTTAAACTATTTTCTAAGGTGATCTTTTAAAGAAGTTTTTGAAAGAACTTTTAAAGAGGTAGAATCTTGGAAAAATATAGCATTTTATACCATCAACTACTCAATGATACTCTAGTCTGTCAGTAAAATAAAGCTCTCATATTTATTCCACCGTAAATTTCAGATCTGAGTTTGAGTGAAAATAAAAATTATTGTCAATACTAGAAAAAGTCCATGAAAAAAGAAATAAATTGCTTTCATCCTATATTTTTCTTTTTATATGTTTTCTGAAATGGTTACAAGTTTTCTTCTGAGTTCATAAGACATTATGGATAAACTGCAGTTCAAACAACAGTAGCAAAATATGTTTGCTTAAAATCATTAGCTTAAAAAAAAAACTATTCACACAACATAGGCATGTTTCCTTAAAATGATAAGGAAAATAATTTAATCATACTGACAACTGGTCAATATGTAGGAAATTATTGGATTTACATGCTTCCTAAATTATTTAATCTCCTTATAAGTAATGCAGATATTAAATGTTTTTCTAGCACTGGATGCAGTATAGGATGTAATCTTATTCCAATTGAAATATTTATTTTGGATACGAAAGTATTCAAATTACTTATTATTATCAGAAGAGGGAATTTAGCAAGCCAGAGAAAGCAGGCCAAGCCCAGCACTCCCTCAGCACCAGACTTACAAAACGGGAGCACTTCTACTCAGTGAGGTAAAATAACAAAGGATCCTCACTGAAACCTAATATTTAACTGTAATTAAAAAAATCATAAAGTAACAGAAGCCAGTTACTTGAATATGAGAAATAATACCTTACATACATGCCATCTTCTTCATCATCAGAGAGTGATGGGGAGCACAGACAATGTTATATTCCATGAAGGTATAATATGTCAAAATTCATGCTATTGTCATGTATATATAAAAATAACAAAGAAAAAAAAGAAAAGAAAGAGGAAAAAAAACATGGCCAGCAAATAAAGAAATTTAAAAAGAGAGTGAGGAGGCTGCGTCTGGCTCCCGCTCTCACAGCCATTGCAGTACATTGAGCTCCATAGAGACAGCGCCGGGGCAAGTGAGAGCCGGACGGGCACTGGGCGACTCTGTGCCTCGCTGAGGAAAAATAACTAAACATGGGCAAAGGAGATCCTAAGAAGCCGAGAGGCAAAATGTCATCATATGCATTCTTTGTGCAAACTTGCCGGGAGGAGCACAAGAAGAAGCACCCAGATGCTTCAGTCAACTTCTCAGAGTTTTCTAAGAAGTGCTCAGAGAGGTGGAAGACCATGTCTGCTAAAGAGAAAGGAAAATTTGAAGACATGGCAAAGGCGGACAAGGCCCGTTATGAAAGAGAAATGAAAACCTATATCCCTCCTAAAGGGGAAACAAAAAAGAAGTTCAAGGATCCCAATGCACCCAAGAGGCCTCCGTCGGCCTTCTTCTTGTTCTGTTCTGAGTATCGCCCCAAAATCAAGGGAGAACATCCTGGCCTATCCATTGGTGATGTTGCAAAGAAACTGGGAGAGATGTGGAATAACACTGCTGCAGATGATAAGCAGCCTTATGAAAAGAAAGCTGCCAAGCTGAAGGAAAAATACGAAAAGGATATTGCTGCCTACCGAGCTAAAGGAAAACCTGATGCAGCAAAAAAGGGAGTTGTCAAGGCTGAAAAAAGCAAGAAAAAGAAGGAAGAGGAGGAAGATGAGGAAGATGAAGAGGATGAGGAGGAAGAGGAAGATGAAGAAGATGAAGATGAAGAAGAAGATGATGATGATGAATAAGTTGGTTCTAGCGCAGTTTTTTTTTTCTTGTCTATAAAGCATTTAACCCCCCTGTACACAACTCACTCCTTTTAAAGAAAAAAATTGAAATGTAAGGCTGTGTAAGATTTGTTTTTAAACTGTACAGTGTCTTTTTTTGTATAGTTAACACACTACCGAATGTGTCTTTAGATAGCCCTGTCCTGGTGGTATTTTCAATAGCCACTAACCTTGCCTGGTACAGTATGGGGGTTGTAAATTGGCATGGAAATTTAAAGCAGGTTCTTGTTGGTGCACAGCACAAATTAGTTATATATGGGGACGGTAGTTTTTCATCTTCAGTTGTCTCTGATGCAGCTTATACGAAATAATTGTTGTTCTGTTAACTGAATACCACTCTGTAATTGCAAAAAAAAAGTTGCAGCTGTTTTGTTGACATTCTGAATGCTTCTAAGTAAATACAATTTTTTTTATTAGTATTGTTGTCCTTTTCATAGGTCTGAAATTTTTCTTCTTGAGGGGAAGTTAGTCTTGCTTTTGCCCATTTTAGATCACATGAATTATTACAATGTTTATCTTTTCATAGTAAGATGATAAAAACTTTTTGTCTACACACCCTGCATATCATGATGGGGTTAATAAAAATTAAATTGAGGACATTTTCATCCGTAACTGAAACTCCAAAACCTTGATCAGTTGATAGCTAATTTCACATAGCCCACTTACATTTACCAAGTGAAGGGTAGCCAATTCTATTCACAGCATGGGATTATTAGAATCAAACAATCTGAAAATCTGTCCTTGAAGGACTAATAGAGACGTATGTTCTGATCTTTACATGAGGACTCTATATTAACTCCCATTACCATGTAATGGCAGTTATATTTTGCAGTTAACACATTAAAGAAGACCTGAGAATGTATCCCCAAAAGCGTGAGCTTAAAATACAAGACTGCCATATTAAATTTTTTGTTGAGATTAGTCCCAGCAAAGGTTCTAAGAGTGCTGGCTGTAAATGCCTTTTCCCATTTATCTAAATATGGACTGCTCAGGAAACTTGAGACTCCATTGAAAGTATTTTTACTTAATAGGGCCAGCTTATAAAATTACAATGCCAAGTTTGAAGTAGGGTATATTTTCCTATATTGTGGTTTGCCCATTTATAAATCAAAATAGACATGAGGAAAAAACTTTGCATCTCTACCAATTATCCAACTTATTTGATGTTTTTTTTTCTTTTTTTTTTTTAATTTTTAACAAAAATCCAAACTCATTCATTAGTCATGTTTATCTACTTAGCAGTTTAGGGAACAATTTGGCAATTTTGTGGTTTTTGAGATTATCGTTCTCTTAAAGTGCCAGTGTTTTAAAATAGCGTTCTTGTAATTTTACACGCTTTTGTGATGGAGTGCTGTTTTGTTATATAATTTTGACTTGGATTCTTTCCATTTGCATTTGTTTATGTAATTTCAGGAGGAATACTGAACATCTGAGTCCTGGATGATACTAATAAACTAATAATTGCAGAGGTTTTTAAAAAAAAAAAAAAAAAAAAAAAAAAAAAAAGAAAAATTGACCTAGGGAAACCTGGGGTTTACATAGGAAGGCTGATGTTAATGGATAGAGAGTTTTATATAGGGTAAGCACCTCAATTAAAACAAATCCAAAATAGTCCCCTGTGGTGAAAGTGTTCCATGGGAACATCAAGCCCTCCAGAAGTGTGAAGCAGAAAGCCCCCAGCCCCCATGGGCAGCCCTCCAACAAAACACAGCATGCTGGAAGGTGAGGAAAATTCTATCAGGAGCTGCCCAAGCACAGCTCACACCACTGTAAACAGAGACAGGGGATTGAAAACTTGTAGATAAAGTTATCAAAAGCTGAAAAAAAAAATTCCCAGTAGGAGAAACTGAGGGAGGAACAATGAACATTTTGTCTGGGTCACTCAGTCTCTGGATCACAAGAGAGAAAGGTCTCACAATGGCTGGCACCCCATAAGGGCTATTGTGAAAATGCTCATGGCAGCCACTCACATACATCTGCATTGAGTGCAGACACCTAGATTACACAATTCACCAGCATTCCCATTGTATCCCACCCAATACTGGGAGATTGGAAACAGAACTACTATATCCCACTGGCAGCTAGGTGAGGAGCATAAGGAAGGTGGCTAAAAATATAGACATGCCATTGCATTTGACCACCACAGCAGAAATAAACCCTTTTATCTTTCACGAAGATTTTTTTTTCTTTATTTCCTTCATGTTCTTAGTTGTTTTTTTTTTTTTGCTCTTTTTAACTTTATTATATTTTCCAATTTTCTTCAAGCATTATTTTATCACATTTATTTTATTGTTCTTTACCCATTTTCCTTCTTTTTATTATGTGCGATTTTGTGTGTATGTAAATGTTTGTGTTTCTGTGATTATGTATGCTCTCACTTCAAAGATGTTATATAACTTTACTTACACATTAATAGCTCTCTCCTGCATGTGTTCATTATTTACCCTAGATTAGACTTAGGTAAGGGTCAAGTTGTTTCAATCTTACATTTGCTGGTTCTCTTATACCTGGGTTCTGGGCCCTCCTATTTTCCTTCTTCACTGTCTTCCTCCAATAACAACCAAAACCTCCTATTCTCTCCTTCACTCTTGCTTTTTTTTTTTAACTTCTTTCATGAAACTTACTGTTTGGTACAGGAATTGAACTCAGGGTGCTTAACCACTGAGCCACATCCTTAAACATTTTTTACTTCTTTGTGTGTGTGTATATATATATATATATATATATATATATATATATATATATACACATCTATCCCCCAAATCCACAATCCATCAACAAAATATCCCACTTATATTAATGTGGATGAAATACCAGAAAAGTTTATAGAAAACACATTATTAAAAAGTTCAATGAAGTAAAAGAAGACTAAATGAATGAATTAAGAAAGAAAATAAAGTAAACCAAAGACCATTTCAATTAAAAAAAGAGTGAAAATAAACCAATCAAAACACCCATAAATGAAAGACACAATCAATCAAATAAAAAATTTACTTGAATACATCACTAACAGATTAGATTGTATAGAAAATAGAACACCAGCCATCGAAGATATAAGTTCAGGTCTTGAAGACAAGCTATAAGATCTTGAGTACACAGAATTCCATAAAGAAGAAAACTATAGAATGTGATAAGAATATGCAAGAACTGTATGACAACTTCAAAAGACTAAACCTGAGAATCATTATGATAGAAGAGAACATGGAGAAACAAGCTAAAGGCATAAAGAATGTTTTCAATGATTTAGTTACAGAAAAGTTTTCCCATATCAGAAATGACATGTAGACCCACATAGAATAGGCTTATAGAACCCCTATTCAAACAAGAAACTCTCCAAGATATATCATAATCAAAATGGCCAACATAAAAAATAGGCGGGGGGGGTACAGAAAGAAACATCAAGTTACATTTAAAGACAAACCAAAAAGTTTACTTCTGATTTCTCATTTCTAAAATCAATGAGGGCCTGGATTCAAATATTTCAAGTTCTAAAAGAGAACATCTGACAGTCAAGTTTACTATACTCAGCAAAGCTCACTTTCAAATTTGAAACAAAAATAAAAACTTTTCACAACAAATACACACTAAAAGAATTCATGAATACCAAGCCAGCACTACAAAAAATACTCGAAACTTAATTGCACACAGAAGAACTAAAAATACATAATTCCCAAAGGTTCCAAATAGAGGAAGATCAATAGAAGAGTAATCCACTAAACATGAATCAAGAAAGTATTAAACATCAAAAAATCAAAATGGCAAGAAACCACAAACACATATTCATACTAACAATGAATGTTAATAATCTCAATTCTTCAATTAAAAGACATAGATGATGAGGATGATTCACAAAACAAGATTCAACTATATGCTGTTTATGAAAGATTCATCTTATAGGCAAAGACACAGGCTGAAGATAAAATAATGCCAAGAAATCCATTCCATGCACATGGACCCTGAAAACAAGCCAGAATCATTATTCTCATATGTGCAAATCATATTTCAAGGAAAAAATAATAAAAAGACACAAACAAGGATACTACATCCAGGTAAAGGGAATAATCCAAACAAAAGATACAATCATAGTAAATATTTATGCCCCAAATTTCAGTTCACTCAGTTACATTAAAAATACCATGACATTAAATCCCAGATAGACCCAACACAATAATACTGGCTGATGTCAACACACCCCAAAAAGAACAAAGATGTCTCCAAACGAAATAATACTATAAATAAAGTGAACCTAAGATATATCCACAGAATATTTCACCACAAGACAGCTGAATTTAGCTACTTGGCAGCTCATGAAACTTTTTCAAAAATAGACCATATGTGAAATCACAAAGCAATAAAGTTGATATAGTACCATACATTCTATCAGATCATAATGGAATAAAACTAGAAGTCAACATCAAGAAAAATTGTACACACACACACACACACACACACACATATATATATATATATATATATATATATATATCCATGATCCATGATCACATGGGTTTCATTTTATTTTAGGGATGCATGTTAGTGCAACATATGCAAATCAATAAATGTAATTCACCACTTAAACATAATTTAAGATAAATATCACATAATCAACCCAACAGATGCAGAACAGGCCTTTGATAAAAGGCCCTTAATGTTAAGAACACTGTTGAAGTTAGGGATGGAAGGAATTTACCTATATATCATAAAGGCTATTTTTTGATAAACTCAAAATGACATCATACTAAACAGAGGAAAACTATATGTATTTCCTCTATAATCAGGAAGAAGACAAGCTTTCCATTCTCAGCACTTCTATTCAATATAATCCTTGAAACATCAGCCAGAGTTATAAGGCAAGAAGTAGTTAAAATATCTCTATTTAGTGACAACATTATCCTATATCTAGAAGACCCAAAACAATCTGCCAGAAGACTTCTAGAGTTTATAAATGGGTTCAGCAAAATACCAGGATATGAGATCAACACCCATAGATTAATAGTTTTCCTATATTCCAACAGTGAATCAGCTGTGGAGGAATTAAAAAATAATAAACCAGCCAGGAGTGTGGTAGTGCATACCTGTATTCCCAGCACCTTGGAAGTCTGAGGTAGGAGAACTTTGAGTTAAAAGCCTGACTTAGAAGCTTAACAAGGCCCTAAGCAACTCAGTGAGACTCTGTCTCTTGATAAAAATATGGAAAACTTTTGGGTCTGCAGCTCATTGGTTAAGCATGCCTGGGTTCAAACCCTGGCACTACAATAAGCAAATAAATAAATAAACAAATCTGGACGGGAAAACCATGCCATGATCCTATTCAGAATAACCTCAAAAGAAAAAGAAAGAAAGAAAGAAATTCTCAGGTATTAATCAATCTAAGTATGTATGTAAAAAAGCTCCACAATGAAAATTATAGAATGCT